TCTCTTCTCCAGACTAAATAATGTCAGTTCTTCCAGCCTTCCCTCATATGACATGTTTTTTAGATCTCGAATAATTTCTGTTAGTCTCCCCTGGACTATTTCCAATTCATGCATGTCTTTATTGAAGTGCAATGCTACAAATTGGACACAGGACTCCAGATGAGACTTCACTACTACTGAACAGAGTGAAAGAATCACCTTCTGTGCCTATTAATGCATCCCAGTATGCTATTGACCTTTTTTACAACTATACTGTTGACGCATATGCAGTCTACTAGAGCCCTTGAGTCCTTTTCTGTAGTGCTGCAGCCTACCTGTTGTTGTTCCCTATTTTGTATTTGTGCATTTGATTGTTCATTCCTAAGTGTAGCGCTTTGCATTTGGCCATAATGAATTTAAATCTATTTATTTCAGGCATTTTATTTCTAATTTATGAAGGTAATTTTGAATCCTAATCCTATTCCTCACAGCACTTGCCACCTCATCCAGATTGGTGTCATCTACAAACCATGGATAGGTCAACGTGATTTGTTCACTCAGTAAGTGAAGCACAATTAAGCATACTTTCAGTTCCATCCTTCAAATAATTAATAAAGACATTGAACAGTACAGGATCCAGAACAGATTCGTTTGGAACTGCCTCTGAAGCCTTCTTTGAGTTAGACACTGGGCCATTAAACAGCATCTACCAGAATCAGTCATTTTTAAGTCTGCAGAACTAAGTAACTTACATCAAGAGTTTTTAAAGAATTGGTTGAAAAGCTTTCTGAAATAGTGATATTGGTATCAGCCCCTATAAAACTGGTGAAATTCCAAATGACTGAAAAAGGAAACCTGGAATAGGGACAATATTTAGCAACTAAATAAAGTGTCCCAAGTAGGTATGGGACCATTAACTAAGTACCAGTCCCAAAGAATATAATGGAGTGTAAGATATGGGATGTAAACAAGAAAGAAAAAAAGGACTGTAGCATAATTATTACTAATCATTATGGTTTTCTGGAAAGCAGGTTTGGTCAAGAAAACATGACATCTTTTTTCAGGAGATTTACAAACTTGGTTGAGGAAAATGACTGCGATAACATAAAACACTTAGACTTCTGTAAGGTGTTCTGTTTACTATTCCTTATGATTGCATTTTGATTAAAATCAGGCATCGCACAAAAACAGTGTGGCACATATTAAATCAGTTTTATAATTGCTCTCCAAAAATAATTTTAAATGGAGAATTATCAGCAAACACCGGTGTTTTTATGGGAGCTTGCAAAAATGTGTTCTCAGCCTAATGATAGTCAGTGATCCAGAAGAAAATATAAAATTACTGCTGATAAAGTTGCAGATGACAAAGATTGGTGGATGATAATGATAAGTCAAAGTGATTCGTTCACAGTAAGTGGAACACAATTAAGCAAAATGTATTTAACAGCCAAATGCAAGGCAAATGGACAAAGGTTGCACTTACGGGACAGTGGACTGTATCCTGAAAAAGATGCTGGGAGTTATGTGTCCTTTAATGGCATGAGATCCCAATACAATGCTGTGACTGACTAGGTGAAATCTGTTCTTGGATGCACAGATGAGAATACTGAATACGAACAGGGAAGAGGTATTTATTTCTTATCCAGCCCGTGTGAGAAAAATACTGGAACACTGAGTCCAAATCTGGTGCCAGCACTTTAAAAAGGATATTGAAGAACTGGAGAGCATTCAGAAAAGCTTATGAGAATGATTCCTGTGGTCTGGAAAACCTGCCTTTACAGTGAGAGAGTAAAAAAGGTCAACCTATTTAGCTCATCAAACAGAAGCTTACAAGGTGATTTGATCATTATCTGTAAGCATCTATGTGGGAGAAGATGTCTGGTACTATGGGCTTCTTAATTTAGCAGACAAAAGCATAATGAGGTCTAATGGTTGGAAGCTGAAACTAGAAACATCCTCACTGAAAATCAGGTGTAACTTTTCAATGCAGTAATTAACCATTGGAGCAACTTACCACGAGATGCCTGGATTCCATATCATGCCCAGTGTTTAAATAAATGGCACATCCACACTTGAAATTAGCCCAGATGAATAAACTCTAGTGCCCAAGAATGCAGCAAGTTGAGCCAGGTTGGAGCAGCCCTGGCTAGCAGATAGCTCCAGGGGATAGCCTGCTAGCCCAGGGATGTGCTGACCTGGTTCAGCATGCTGTGGAGGGCCTGGCTGGGGCGAGAGAGTGCTACAGTCTGGGGCTAGCTAGCAGGCAGCCCTGCACTGTAGCACCATCATGCTCGAGAACAGCCCCAGTCAGCATCTAAATGTGTTGCAGCAAAGTAAATAACTCTGCTGTAGGATAGTAGTTGTATCAAGCAGTACTAACCTAGGCAGAGTTAACTAGTTTACCCTACCTAATAGGGCTACATCTGTAGATAGAGATGCTTTACTGCAGAGCTAATTAGGCAACTGCAGTAAGCATCTCATATAGATGCATCCCACGGTCTTCCTGACAAATATTGCAGCTCAGCTAGAAGTTACCAGCCAGCAGCAGGAATTACTGGGTAAAGATCTTCAGCCAGGGTTATTTAGGAAGCCAGACTGTTCTGGCCTTTAACTTTATTATAATAATTTATATATTTATTTTTCATTTCCTCACTTAGCTATCATCACCATGTATGTACTATAAAGATGACTCCTTTGTCAGGGTACCAGTGTGCTCAAGATAAAAGGTGTGGCACCTACAATGATGTTGGGAAAAGATTAAGTATGCATGAGAGGGGAGGAGCCTGAAGCATTTAGCTAAGCATAGCTTTGTATTCTCCTATCACTCCTCATGGGTGGCAACCACCCGTGCCAAAAGAAAAAAAGGCTGTGACCTGGACCTTGTCTCTTTACCTGTACTTTGAACTAACACTTCCCTGTTTAGGAGCTTTTGCAGTATGCAGAGGAGAACGTGTGTGTTCTACAGGGAAAAAATGTAGGTGTGAGAGAGTCGCATATAGACAGCATGTGCAGGTGTAAAGGCTTCATGGTCTACAAGCCAATATGCTCTGAGACATGGAGGAACCAAATTCCATGGTAACCTCTGAACTCCAAAGCAACAGCCTCGAATCCTGTTTGAAACTGAATGCAGATATAGCTACAGCCATGGGGAATAAAAGAAAACTGCTACAGAAAAATGGCAAATTCTACAGCTGCCGCATAGGAGCGGCTCACAATATGTCTGTGTGGGGGGCTCGCTGAGAGCTGGGGTGGGGGAGAAAGGGAGAGCAAAGTTGGAGGGAAGAGTGTGTGCATACCTGTGTGCTAGGGTGGCCATCACAGAGGACAGTCCAGTTGTCCTCTGTCCACTACTGATATGAAACCAGATGCCTTTATGTCCTCTATTTCTCTCTTGAAGAGAAAAACAGAGGACATAAAGGCATTGGGTTTCATAACAATAGAGGACAGAGGAGCAGAAAACTGGTATGTCTTCTGTGATGACCCACCCTAGTGTGCACATGTAAGTGCACAGTTTGAATGTGGGTGCCAGGAGGGCCCACCCAGTGTGGGTCAGAATGGGATGTAAGGGAGTGTGTGTGTATGTGTGGTATGGGGGGGTGTAGTATGTGAGTGTGGGGGGAGAGAGACTGTGTGTGTAATTGGGGCAGTGAGCGTGTGTAGTGTGGAAGTACAGGGAGAGAAAGAAAGTGCATATGTGTGGTGGCATGAGAGTATGAGTAGAGTGTGTGTGGTATGGGAGGGAGAGAGAGACGGTGTTTGCGTATGTGTATAATGTGTGAGCATGGGGTGAGAGAAAGCGTGTATGTGCGGGTGAGGGGACACAGAGGGTGTGGGGAGGACACCGAGGGTGTATGCCTGTGTGTGGGGATATATATTTTAAATTGTATCCACGGCCAAATTCGCCCAAACTAATTCCAGATCCAAGCGTCCAGAACCACAAGTGGCCGCACTGCCGGCAAACATCCTCCACCTGCACCTGGGGCTCTGGATGTTTCCAAATCCTTTGGCGGGCACCGTAGGCGCAGGCCCAAGCCTTGAGGCCTGGGGTTCGGCTGCCCCCAGTTTGGCCTGCCCTCAGCTGTACGGCCCTCGGCGCGAGCCAGGGAGTGTGTGTGTTGGGGAGAGAGGCTCCCATGGGGCACCATGCCACCGGCAGGGCTGTGCTTGCCGTGTGCCTCCCCCGCCGCAGCCCTCGCCGGCCACCCCACCTGCGAGCCCGGCACCTGCCCGCTCCCCGCGGCGGCACAGCACGGCACGGCACGGCAGAGCCGAGCCGTGCCCCGCCCGGCGGTGGGCTGTGCCCAAGCCCG